CGACAAACCTGCGAACTCCGCTGGTTGAACACCACTAATCCTCTGTTTGCAAACGCTCTTGTTCGCGGTAACTGCACACGAGCTCCTGTTCGCGAACTCCACCTCGCCTAATGCCGCGAAAGTTCATGAACTGTCGTGCCTCAAAATCGCGACGTTTAAGTTGTTCTATGATGGATGCAGAATTAAATTTCGTGTGAAAAAAATGCATTATTGAAAAATATTCGTGGAAAAGATAACTGTAATAGAACTTAATTTGGATATTTGCATCTATTATGATTTTAATAATTTATTTCTTATGGACTAAATCTTAAATATTATGGATGGGAAGAATTGGAGGAGGGTGTGTGGATCAAAATTTGATCAAGGTAGGTTTTAGAACTAAGAACAGGGGGAATAAATAACAAGAACAAAGAGAAAAAGAAGAAGGTTACCCGAAGCAACACCCACTTGTTTTACCTGTAGGAACAATGGATTACATTACCTCTTATTTTACAGTAGTACAGAGTATATTTTGCGAATATAGAATATTCTACAGTGAGTGCTGTGAGTTGTAATGAGTCCCTTGTTGCCAGTCAGCTATGGTATTGACCTTAGGAGTGTTGGGGATCACTGTGTGTATTATGGCTAATACCCTCCTATAAGCTAAGAGTTCCGGGTAGAATTGCAAGCTTGGTGCAGAGATCATGAAATTGATTCTTGGGAAGACTTTTAGTAAGGATATCCGCTAGTTGCTGTCGACATTGAATGTGTTGATGTTGGATGTTACTAAGGTTTATGTGGGCATGAAGGAAATGGTGATCAATCTCTCTGTGTTTAGTCCGGCCTCACAATAAAGAAGCGTAACTGAGTTACAAGATACCCAAATTATTTAATGAGACACCTAAGCCATAGTATATCGGTGGTAGCTATGGCTAATGCTCGGTATTCGGCTTCCGTAGAGGAGTGAGCAAATGTGGATTGTTATTGTACTTGCCAGGAAATAAGAGTGTTGCCAGGAAATGAGCACACCTCATTAGTAGATTTGCAGTCAGAAGGGTCCTCTGCCCAATCGAATCAGCATAGAATGTGAGTTGAAGATTGTCTGGTTCGATGAGCATGCCATAATGAAGCGTTCCCTAGAGGTAGCAGAAGAGATGAACCAACCACATATAATCTAAAGTCTTAGGCACATGCATTTTCTGGCATTAACGATTAACAACATATGCAATGTCTGGGCGTGTCACCGTGATATATTGAAGTGCCTTTGTCAGTTGACAGTACAATTTTGGATTATGAAATGGAGCATCTAGGACGGTAGCATGTGTCTTCACGAACATAGGGGTGTTGATGGTTCGACATCCCATCTGTCCTGCAGAATCAATTAATTGAAGTTCCTACCTTTGTTGGCTGAAAAAATAATGACTTTGTAGATTTTTAGACATCAATTCCCAAGAAGCATCCGACCATGCCAACATTTTTGAGCTGGAATTGAGTAGCCGTAGTCAGCTTAGAAATGAGTTTAATATTATTACCCGTGATGAGAATGTCTTCCACATAAAGAAGAATGAAGATAGAACCAGCTTTTGATTGTAGATAAGAAGCGAGGGATCCATTTTGCTGATTTGAAAGCCCCTTGTGAGAAAGAATTCAGTGAAAGTAAGAAACCACTGCGGGGGACTGTTTTAGTCCTCCCAAGGATTCCTTGAGTAGGCACACATGGTTTGGGTATTGTGGATTATGAAACCCATTTCATATTTGAGATTACCATGGAGAAACACACTTGAAATGTCAAATTGAAGTACATTCCAATTATGGTGGACAGAGAGGTAAGAAGTCTGCAGATTGTAGAGAGTTTAGCCACCAGACTAAACGCTTCATGATAGTTCATGCCAAAATCTCATCGGTGACCTTGGACAACACGTCTCTCTTAATATCGAGAAACAAATCCTTTTTAACTCTAGTAGTGTAGGTCCATTGGAAACCCACTATTATTTGATTGAAGGGAGGAGGGACCAAGACCCAAGTTCCTTGTCTTTGTAAGAACAGGGAGAAGAATTGATAAGAACAGAGAGAAGAAGGAATGTATGATGAATTTAAGAGAGCTTGAGCTTACGGTTTGGCGTGAGAAGAATGTCATCACCTTTAAGTTGGATTGGAACCATTTGTCCATTGCCCACCATAACTTGTTCAATCCCATGATAAGATGTAGCTGGATGAAGTTGAATTAGATCTGGCATGAAGTGTGCCATCACACTGGAGTCTAAAACCTATTCCTTGGAGGTGACATTGAGGGCTTGGGCTGGAGTTGATGGTGTATACTCAAGATTTGTCTTATGCCAACAAATGGATGTAGAGTAACCATTTTTATTACATATTCGGCATTTGATGTTGGATATAGTTGATGTTCTACCTCTACATGAAACATTGGAATAACCTCCTATAGGTTTTGTTGACTGATTTCGACCTCTTCCCTTAGTGGCGCTTGTATTGCGTCATTTATATTTGTTCAGCGCCATGGGATTTGTTAGCATCAAATTTTGATTTCGGCCTTATTTCTAGCCGGTGTCTGCTGGTTGCATGGCGCTCCGAGTCTCCAAGGCAAGTGTAATTCGTCTCCATAGGAAGTCTATCTTATCAGTACATCTCGTTGGTGTGTGTCAAGTTGCATGTAAAATTCTTGCATCTATTTGCATAGTGTGTGATTCACCCTTTTGGGTGCCCGTTGTGATCGTTTTGTACTTTGGTCGAACAATCACATTGTGGGCTTCTTACAGATTGTATGACTTGCCCATATGCTTTGATGGTTTGTTCTACTAGTTAAGAGAGATACTGGTTTGTCGATCGTGATACTAAAACGAGCATTGCCCCTGAGGATGCCTCAGCGAGCAATACGAGTTTTTATATCACGAGCAACAAATAGTATGATTGTGCTAAGGATCTAAGGACTCAAAAGCACGTCATATGTGTCATGGACCCACATTTTATAGTCCGTTATTTTAAAATATAAATTGGATATTTTTGATAGTATAAATATTATCCGCATACATTAAAACTATAAATGTTAGGCCATATGTGAGGCAACCTCTTTAAAATGTCACCCCTTTCGTTGTGACGTGCTTTAGATCCCTTGGATCTTTAGGACGGGGTTGGTGTGGCAGTGCTTTAGATCCCTTGGATCAAAGTCATACAATAACCAGAGACTTCACCCTGTACACTTAGGTGTTGTTAGGACACTTCTCGTTAGATGGTGTGTTAGGCTATGTCTGATATGCTAAGCAGTATTTTGATGTCTGACTATTATTCTTTGCTGGTTTGGTTGCCCCAACCAGACTTCTTTCTTGCTTTGTGCTCTTAGTGTGTTTGTGTGCTTGATATGCATGATAGTGTATTAGAACGTTCTTCTGCAAGAAGTTGTGTCTATATATATGCACACACACAGTCATAATAAAAGGAGGGAGCATTTAATGATTTACATGCTAACTTTTGCTTGCAGGTGTTGCTTAGCTCCTTCATTAGACACAACTCATCATACATTGCATGTTTGTTGGCTTTCTTGCTAACATTAGCTTCGTGCAGGTCGAGTTTTTTCTTTTATTTTCAATGTATTTTTGCAGTTCTTAGGTGTGTCTTGTTGCAGAAATAAAATACGAGCATGGGTTAACACTTTTCTTTTATTTTTAGATGAAAGCAATGTAATATATTAAAGATTATTCAAATACTACACTTACCAAAACTTATATTCAATAATTTTATTACTTAATTTGAATAAATTTTGATTATGATATGCTGAGTTAATTTTTCTGTCATTAGTCATTTTTTATGCATGCATAACATCTAATTTGTTAACTCTTATGCAAATAAATGTTTGAAGCTTTTTATTTTAATTTAAATGAAGCATCATATTTCCTAAAATTAATATCTTCATGTTTTCAAAGAAGTCATTTCAATAATCATGAACTTAATTCACAAAATTAACTAAGATCGATAT